TGGTAGCTATACAATATACGGTAGAGCATAAATGAACTGGTAAACTTAATTAGTAATTAGCCGCATAAGGGAGACTATCTTTTAATCAGATTTGCACACTGCATCTGTACACAAATTTGTAGATTAACATTCAATTTATGTACACAACTCACAATGATTGTAATATATTATAATAATTTAAATTTGCTTATATTTAAATATTAAAAACGTGGTTTCAATAACGTCATTGGGTTTGTTCTAACGCGAAACTCAATTAACCGAATGAAAACAGTGCACGGTGGATGACCAACATATAGGCATATTCCGCATATTCATGTCTTTGATTTTCCCTTGAACAAAACCTAGGACATTCAAAGCTGAAATGTTCGGTACACCAGCTTCTCAGAACAATATGCTGTATAGTGTATATAAAACTAAGTGATGCTTCACTTCCTAATTTCTGTAATGCAATGATAAAAGTGTGTACATTTCCTACTATAACAATTTACACGCAGGACAAAGCTTTGTATCATAAAGATAATTCAAAAAAACAGTAGCTATTTAATAAGGATACAAGTTTTAAATAATCTCTCCCTACGTTACCGTTTTTGACATCTAAAACCCGTTTACCTTTTTCAGAGGTAAAAATCGCCCAATTGCGAATGTAACCTGAAAGTCTCGTCCTTTGTATTCTTTGTGTCTGTCCTTTACTCAGTATTTCAAACGATCAGCTGTTCTGAGTTACATTTCAGCGAATTTCCCATATAGGGAATAAGCTATTACCGTAGTACTCATGGTAAGACCTGGACCCGGGACCGATTTACTTTTTCGTTTTGAGGTCCCTAGAGACCAAAAACACCATCCGTTCAAATTCATATGTATATATATAATTTTAATAAATAATTTTACTTGGGTACTAAGTTTATTAATGTTTAATCTTTATTTATATATTTATTTATATATGTGTCCGTTAGCGCGATAACTCGAGCAAAAATCATCCGATTTTGATGAAATTTGGTACAAATGTGTAAACCTACGTTTATTCGAACGAGTTCGCGAACTAGCATGATCGGACTATGGGAACAGGGGTTTATGGGAGTTTTATGGGGCAAAAATTGGTTTTTCCTATTTTTGACCCTAAAAACTTAAAATTTAGCATTTTCTTTCCAAGCCATTTTGTAGATCTTAAAAAAACAAATAATTTAGTATGTTGAAGCGTTATTATGCGCCTAATGGTTACGGAGAAAATTCCAAAAAACTGTAAATTTAAAATTCCCAAGTTATTCTTATGGAGAATAAGTAAACTGTTGTAGTTTGCTTGTTTATGATCATATTTTGATCAAATTTGGAAAATGCGTTCACTTCATACTAAACTATTAACATTTTACAAAAACATACCTTTTTACCCTCCCTGTTGCAGAAAACCTAAGTACTCGTTAAACTAATGTTATTTAAATAGGGAATAAATGTGATATTTTTAAGGAGACATTTTAGTGTAAATCCAATCAGGCAAATGGAATTTCGCTTGGTCTGCAGGTTTGCTGCGGCGGGGGTATTTAATATTGTATACTAAAAAACTTTTGCAAAACTTATGACAGCTAGCCTTACCATACTACTGGACCAAATTACACGCGTTTCGTACAAAACGAAAGATATTTCCTGTAGATGTGCAGAATCCCTTTAGAAATTAAAATTGGCTCAAAAATAAGCAGAAAAATTGAATTTAACATTTAAAAATTTAACATGGGCCCTATGGGTTGCCATGTTGGTGACGAATTAACATCAACATTTAAACAGAAAATCAAAACATTGCAGATTTGACATTGATTGAGGTTTATAAAACGTACAAGTATTTTTTGAATTAGAAATTGTAAACCAATTTAGCAATTTAAAAATACTTTTCCCTATTAATAATTTTAGAACTTTAGAAATAAAACAAAATATGCATATGCGACTATCAATAATGATTTTCAAATTAATTTGGTTTTTAGTTTAACGTTTAACAAAGCATTGACAAATAATCATTTTATGATCTTGGTACGAAACGATCTAACATGAAAGAGCCAATAAACTCTTTTAAAGGACAGTAAAATTACTATTTGCTTCAAGGTTTAGTCTCTTAACTAATTAACTTTTCCTACAGTTACCTAACAATGTACATGTTCTCTCACTGATTTGAGAAAGCAAAGTGGCCAATTCACTCATCAGTGAGACAATGTTAAAATTGTCTCACTCTGATTACTTTGTCTCACTCCAGATTTGCAACGTGAAGGCACGAAATAGTGAGCGCGTAACATGCAGAAAAGGTCGTATGCGCGTGAAATACGTTGGCAGCACTGGCTGTAAATCAGCTGGTCAGCTGTTGTACTGTTGTTTCATTAAATGTATTATTAAAAGTTCACTTCTGTGTAAAAATATGTCACGTTTCTTTACCAATGTATTTCACGCATTTTTTATGTGAATGGTAACTGTAGGAAAAATATAATGTGCAACTCGAGTGCAAAGTGCAATTGCCTCACTCGAGAAACCATTCCTCACTCGCTTTCGAGTGAGTCAATTGCCCACTTTGCTCACTAGTTGGACAATAGTCCCGAGGAAAACACAATATTAAGGTGACCTCATGAGTTAATATGAATGAAGATAAATACTAGAGAACATATCACTAACTAAATACACATTTAAACAAATCTAAATATTGTTGTTTACATTTTATATAGACCTGCATTAAAAATCCCAGTTTCAAAACTTGTTTGTACAACATAACTGTAACTACGCAACACAACCATAAATCTAATAATATTTCGAATTTTTTCAAGAAGAAAATAGGTTTAAGCACTGAAAAGCTTCTCAACAAGGTTTTGAAAGATATAATACATCTCGGATGCTTACAATACTAGTTTTAATGTGAATATCTGGATCCTAAATAACTTTCCAAGAATGTTTTAGAAAATATTCTGCCATTATGTATGATTCGTTTTACTCAACCTACCATAATTTAGCATGGTATTACGTACCTTAAAGTTAAAGGCTCTCAGGAAGTTATGGGGCCTCACAAGGTCCCATTATTAAGTGGAAAGAAGGTGTACCATATTCTGATAATTTGTACCATAATGTTACCATAGTTTGACACTCATACCATCATGTAACCACAATTTCTGTTTAGGTTGGCAATATGCAAAATCAGGCGATATTTCTAATAAAGCAGCTCATTGCTATTTCCCGTGACGTCATATCACGCCACCATCACACCACCTTTCCGAACAAGCCTAAATCCCCTCTCCTCACGTCAGTGTCAGTCCACACCATGTAATAGACCCGTCAACATCATACCCTTGCGGCCCTCTGAGTGTTATTTAAAATATAACAAGTGTATTTATTACAACACCCCATCCCTGACTCTAGACGTACAGTACGATGACGACGTACTGTACAGAAGGGACCTGCTTATTTAAAGTAAACAAAAGTGTTTTAATGCACCTAATCATACTAATTTTAGAATCAAACAAAAATATCAAAAAAGTCTATGCAGGTGACTATTTGAGTCCCGCGATTGAAAATGGCCTTTGGGAACTGAAAATCAATTTCTTAGCTTAAAACGAATGGACCTTTTGGTTTAATTAATATTTTACAGTATAACCTACAACAATTATGGTCTTTTAACTGACGGGCTTTACAAAAATATATGTAATACTGAGCGTATGATAAAGCCCTCACTTAATTTTGTAGAGTAGTTATTTTCGTGCGTTTCTTTTAAGAATTCCCACTCAAATATTTGTCTAGCTATATCAATTTTCATTTTTCCCAAAATTTTAAATAATGAAACTAATATAACACAAAGTATTTGACTGATCAAGAGTGGTAATTTTTGCGGAGTGTTTCATCAACATTTTTATCTTACATTGGGAAATATAGTTCGGAAATATAGAAATATAGTACGGTTATTTCAATTTATGTACCTTATCCATTCAAAAACGTTGAGAATCATCATTTCATTTCGTATTGAACATGTTGAGAGTGTTTCGATACAAAGACCGTGAAATCTGTTAACTTCTTTATTAATATTTCGTGGTTTGATTGATAACAAATGTACATCATAGAATTTTTTCATCCTACATCAAATATATTTGTTTGACTAAATGAATTTGTACAATATTAAATTCACGCAATGAGAACTTATAACAATCGAAATCAATACGCGACCTGTTCCACGACATATGTAAATATTTAAGAATAAACCCATGTTAGCATTTGCAACAACACGCACCCCACGTCTGTGTGTGTATTTTCACGTATATTTACGTGTTTGTGTGCGTGAGCGCGTAACCCAGTTTGTGACGCCTACGACACACCTTGCCCGGTATGTCAGTTATAGGTCAACCGTGCAAAACAAAACTGCATCCGTCATCGGAATGGTAAAATATTTTAAATTTATAAAAATACTTATACTTGTTGTTTATTTAAAAGTACTTGGGGTTTTGTGATTGATAAATTGGATATGTCTTTTGGAGTGGTGAACGTTTTTAAGGTTATGAACTAATGAACAAGTGTAAGGCGATACTAAAATTACTAGTTGGAAAAATAGTTTGGATTTTATGCTACGACCAACAAGTATATCCTTAAAATATTAAGTCCAATTCAATTTTTGACACCATCCATGCAAGGGGAAATTTACAAATAATTTAAACGCTTTCAACAACGATGGACACCACTTTGACGACACATTTTATCTCAGACGGTAAAAGATACAAGCAAATGGTGATAAATTACAATTTTACATTTTTTTCGTCAGCAAATACTCCAATAGTTAAAGCTCAACCCAGTGGTTTTAACTTAAGAGGGTGTACACAGTTTAACCGATATGAACGTTCCAACCCCTTCAAAATCATCCATTTAACTAAAATTAAAATGTTTAAACTTTACAAACTTATTTTTCAAGATAAACAAAATTTTCAACATACATCCTATCAAAAATAACCCAATATTACTTTCCACACAAATTTCTTTCCACTTTCCTGTCGTACCTCTAAAGACGACTTTGGCAAGTTTCTCCCCCTTGCACTTGGCCACCTGGAACTGCTTGAGCCGGAGGGTGAGCGACATTGTCACACTTGTCACTTGTCACTTGTCACACCGGCTGATTGTCACACCTGACGCACATGACACTTGTGGTACTACTGGCTACTAGTTGCTCTTCGTAGCTAAGCAACGCGCGAGCGGCGCAACGGCGACACGCAGTCTCTCTCTCTCCCCCCCCCTCTCTCTCTCTCTCTCTCTCTCACAACCCCCTACCATCGATCCTAGCCTACCCCACTGACGACCCAGGGCTTCCGTATTTGTTCAGGTATAAACAACGGTGTGTGAATCAACAATTTAGTTTGGAGTAAGAAATCAGGTGTAAAAAGAGAGTTGTCCTGAAAATGTGTTCTGTTGGAAATTACTCATTGATGACCCATGGGAAAGGGTTGTCCAATTTCAGATTCGTATTTTGAGCTCAAGAAGGAACACAATCCATTTGACTCACTCATATATTATTTGGTTGAAATTTTTCTTGAAAATTGTCATTACAGTAGAAAACTATTCCAGTCACATGGCCTCTTTGAACCTCCACAACAAGATCATTTCCCAGAAGTAGATTTTTACGATTGTTGTCAAGTTTTAGGAGTTACCTAGGCTTACTTGTTTTAGGAATTACTTGTTGAATTTTCACTTTCAGTTATTCCAAAGGGGTCCCACGTGTATCTTCCGAGAATTTTAGACGCCCCACAATAAGAAATTCTATTAATTGTGCCCAGATGTATTTCCCCAAATAACTTACTTCATCGGAAAAGAATATTTTCTTCGAAAAGTTTTGCTATGAGTAAATTCTTCATTGTCCATGATCAATTGGATTCAGTTCTTAAGATAACAAACTTTTGTAAGATTACACGTGCAAACTCTTATGCAAAACACGATAAAGGAAGGCGTACGAAATTCCTAAAGTATTCGATTGACGAAAAATTGTTAATTGTGGCTCTCTTTTCACACCATCACTCGTAGCAATATTCTCATCTGATAGTTTTCCACGATGACAAAAAAATTACCACTAATGATTCCAGTGGCCTTCAATTTCTTCACTATTCTGCTAACTGTTAGCTCCGAAGAACGATTAAATTGATTATACCTTTCTCTCTAACTTCGCAATAGATTTTGTGTGAAATTTTTGTTCCTGTAGAAAAAATTGCATTTTTAACACGTTGATCAGAGTTTAAGCTATCCATTTTGTAAACATGTTATACTCTGGCTATTGGTGTATGAAACTGCAACAATGGGCATTCAATAGTCAGTGTTGCCAAAATAGGAAACTGAAATTCGATCACATATAATATCAACAGAAGTTTTAGAACAGTCAACATTTTGGTGTGGGACAGATAATGTATTTGCATAGACACAGAAGGATACTTTTTTAGTAATCATTGGAGTAGTTGTTGAGTAAGAGATGAAAACTATTTTCATTAAAAGCATAACGCACTACCAAACTAGTTTCCTTATTTTGTCTGTTAACGTACCAACAATAATGGTTTCTGAATGAGCATATAGAGGGGAATGAAAGGGTGTGGGGAGGGGGGTTTGTTGTTTGAGTAATAATTGAGTAGGGGATTTTACATTGCAGATATTTTCTGTTAAAAGCCCATTACTCTAATAACTGAATCGCCGAATAAACCATGGGATTTGGCGGGTTAATGTGTAAACAATGCGTTGCGGACTAGTCTAAGTAATCATTTAGTAAGGAGGTGCAAACATGTTTTAATGTTTTACCGGATGTTTTCTGTCTTCATACTTATATGGTTATCAGTTACAGTAGTAATTAATAAGGTTTACGTTTTTATAAATGAATGTTTACCATTTGTTTTTCTTTGGGGATTTTAAATCAATTCACGAAGTTAGTTAAAATATTCCTAAGAAAACTACTATTCGGGACTAGCAACAGTTTTTCATGAGGATGAAAACACAGGGAAAATAGGCATGTTTGTTTCTAACAAACTTTTTTTTGTTTTAGACATTTTTGACAATGGGATCGCAAGCGATTTTCTTTATATAAAAACTTTACTCTCGTACCATTGTTTCTCTGCTCATCAGTTGGAGAGTTTAAATTCAAACGTTAATCGATCCCCAAGCATCTTAATCGTTTATATTTTCTCCAAAGTAAAAAATCAAGAAATCCCTACTTGCCAACCACTATTCCAATTACAGCTAAGGAATCGAACTATTCTCAGGGTCGTATACAGTTCGTTTTTCATCACTGTTTGTACAATATACTAGGGTCCCTGTTGCTCGAATTCGAGCAATTGCTCGTTTTTCATCACTGTTTGTACAATATACTAGGGTCCCTGTTGCTCGAATTCGAGCAATTGCTAAGTATTACAGGCGTTATTTTAAAACGAATAACAGTCATAATTTCTGATGAATTTAAAATGTTCGACTCAAATATTATGGAAATTCTTAAGATGTACAAAACAGATTGATATAATAAACATTTCTTGTAAATATCATATCATTTTTTCTAAAGCTGATCTCGTTTTTCTATCTAGAAATAGCCTTGCTCATAGCCGCATTAGGTTGTCCATAATCTATATCTATATCTATTTACTTATTTAATACGCAAGCAGGTTTTTTGTGACAATTACTCCTCCGAAACTACTGAACCGATTGACATGTTTTTGGTGTCATTGGAAAGAGCGTAACGTGAAGTTGTGCAGGAAACTTTCTTTTTAGGAAAATAATTAGAGAGTGAGGCTTGGGGGGCCTTTAAAGTTTTGCATTTCTCCATAAGATTAACATGGGAAACAAACATTGTTATGAAACTACAGCTGTTCTCAGAAATGCTGTTCTGCTATTTAATTTAATTTGTTTACAAGGAGAATTGTTTCTTGGTGCCATGTGTTCAATGAATTATACTTTTGCATATATTTTAAATGCTATACACTATATAAAATGATGGTACTGTAATACATTAAGAGATATTAATTTAAATAATCAATAAGCAGGATTGAGCTTTTGCCTATATGTTTCCTGGTAAGTGTGTTGTAACTGTTTCTCATAGTATATTATAGTATCTTAAAGTAAAACCGAATTATTCTTTTCTGCATTCTCACCCCGTAGCGAGCAACTAGTACTTATTTAATACGCAAGCAGGATTTTTGTGACAATTACTCCTCCGAAAATACTGAACCGATTGGCATGTTTTTGGTCTCATTGGAAAGAGCGTAACGTGAAGTTGTGCAGGAAACTTTCTTTTTAGGGAAATAATTAGAGAGAGAGGCCCTGGGGCCCTTTAAAGTTTCGTATTTCTCCATAAGATTAACATGGGAAACAAAAATTTTTATGAAACTCCAGCTGTTGTCAGAAATTAAAAGTGAGAAGAAGAACATAAGTTGTAAACCGTAAATAAGTTTGCTAGTTTAACAGTTTGCTACAAACATTTACTGACTTGGTTGAAATGAAATGTTTAGGCTACTATTTGAATTTGGGTTGGCGTAAATTAATATTACAATGGAAAAAAGTGAGAGAGCCTGGATGAATTGATATCTGAATAAGAAAACTGAATTAACACTGTGCTGCATTTCTTATTAATCATTGAAAGAGCCCATTTGCAAACTATGGAAACACAGGAAAGTCATAGAACACAACAAATATATAAATGTTGTTTTTATTTATAATGTTATTATGGGTAACCTAATGCGGCTATGAATAAGGCTCGTAGAAAACACTAAAAAACAAGATCAGCTTTTAAAAAAATTATAAAATATTTACAAGAAATTGTGATTATATCGATCTGTTATGTACCTACATCATGAGTATTTCCATAATCTTTTAGTTGAATCTTTTAAAGTCATCAGATTATTATGACTGTTATTCGTTTTAAAATAACGCCTTTAATACTTAGCAATTGCTCGAACTCGAGCAACAGGGACACTACTAACGATTATAAATTATAAGAAAAAAACAAGAAATCAGAAAATTGTTTGTTAAATTTGCAAAACTGTTAAATTATAAAACTTATTGACTGTTTACAATTAAAATATGTTCTTCTTCTCACATTTGATTATTTACAACAGCTGGAGTTTCATAAACATTTTTGTATCCCATGCTAATCTTATGGATAAATACGAAACTTTAAAGGGGTCATAAGTACATTACATCAAATTAACTTTCGTTTAAAAGTATAATACGTAACAACTACTTTATTTTATTAGTTTATCACCTTTTATTCACTGTATTATTTAACTTCAGGTTTCCTCACAACACAAAGTTTAAATATTGAACAAACTGGAAACAGCATAGCCACTGAATGGCTATCGATAATATTGTGGTTTCGATGGTTTGTGGGGAAGTATGGAGGGGGGTATTGGAACTCGTTCACGATTAATTCTAGAGGGGGGTTGGGGGGATATTCAACAAGTGGGGGTATCTTTCTCTTCCCTTATCCCTCGACATGTGCGTTTACGATATTTGTAAATCAATATCTCGTTAAGATTCAATCATTTCTCATTATGTCAGATCACTCAACTCCCTTCTCCCAGAAATATAGGATATTGGGGAATTATTCGTTAAAGTTCAATTTAAAAAATTGCCTTTGATTGCTGAGTATCCATTTTTTTAAGCTGGATAATTTTGGTTTCTGCGTATTTAGGTAGATTTATGTTTTCTGCATAGAAGAAAATGTGTCCAACCTAAAATGTATTCATGTGTTGTAAAAAAATTTAAAACAAAATATGACTATAAAAACCAAACCATTGTAAAAAATACCGTTGGGTTTTAGTAACGGAAACCCCACAAAATCACTCCTAAAATAAATTGGAAAACACGCTTTTAAAAATGCTTTAATCGTTCTAAAATCTCTACTTGTCTCTCAGTGTGGCTATTTAAGAATCTAAATAGTTTTTTTTCCTTATAGGTAAGCCGAACAAAATTATTTGGTCGGAACCAGTACACTGAAACCGGAAATAACACTGACATCGAAACATACTTCAAATGTAAAAATACGATGAGAAGTCAACTTGCACTATGCAGCATTGGTTAGTAGGTTTTGTACGTCCAACAGTGTCCAAAACTCTTAACGTGAAATTACTGTGT